CAAAGAGCTGCTGCTGGTCATCCAGGGTGAGTGAGGGAGGGAGTGAGGGCAGCGGGCTGTCAGCAGGGGCTGGCGGGGAGGAGCAGGGAGCCTGGGCATGGAGCTGCAATCCCTGCCCTGGCTGTGCACCAGGGGGACCAGCACCTTCCATCTCCTCCTGTTGGGCCCTGCTCCCTTGCCAGCCATGGCCCTGTGGGATGGCCCTGGCAGGAGGGGCTCCTCCGGTCCCTGCAGATGCTGCCTCTGATCTTGCTTTCGGACCTTTCTCTTCCAGCCCTGGAGAGCATGACAGATGAGAGCCCTGCCATCTCCAGCCTGGCACTTCAAACATCAGAGATCCTGAGAGGCCTACAGAGAGCTCCATCTTCCAGATTCTGGCAGCTCTGAGACTGGCTCTGCAGGGTATGCAAGTGCCAGCCTTGCCTGTGGGGCAGGCTCTGGCTGTGCTGCTGGAGCGCTGTGGAGAAGTGACCCAGGAAGCTTCATCTGCTGGGACCACCTGAGCGTGCAGGGAAGATCCCTTCTCTGCAAGCGCTTCCTTGGACACCACATGAGAATATTAAATTCTGTCTTGACATAGAGAGGCCCAGAAGATTTTTTGGTGCCCCGTGTCCCAAGGGCATTGGGCAAGAGGGAAAGGGGTCCTTGCACTCAGCAACTCTCTCCCCCCAACACACAATTGCTCTAAGCTGAGAGAGGGTTTATGCAGACAAAAGAGATCTGATTGGGGAGAATAATATTAGGATTTATTCCTAGGAAGAGAAAAACTAAAGAACTTGAGATACAACAATTCTAACGAGGCAAAAGAACTATGTATTTACAGAAATAGCACTCTCCCCTTGTATCAGTTCAGGAGGAGAAGCAGTCTCTTTTCCATTTCCAGAGCTCCAGCTCTTTGAAAAAATTTGGTAGCCCCTGAAAGTTCCTCTTCCATTACCTCTAGGACAACAGCTCTGATTTGTCACAGCTGGAACTGTGTTTCTCTCTCTCTCTCTCTCTCTCTCTCTCTCTCTTCTATGTTGACCTCAGGGCTGGGCTTACCCCCTCCTGGGCTAAGATGGGAGGCTGGGGGTTCCCCAGGCCCTGTGGGGTCTTCCATGGATTGCAAGGGGACACTTGCCTACCATGGTCTTGGCACAGTTGCAGGGGATAAAGGGTTTTCAGTCTACCCCTGTTTCTTGTGGGGTCCCTCCTCACAACAGACAGTCTTTGATGGACCTCTCTAGCCTGAGTCTACCTTGGGGCAACAGTTCTTCCATTCTTTGCTGTCCCTTAGGGTCACAAATTCAGCTGCACCAGCATGGATCCTTCACTGGGATCACACAAATCCTATGCAGGCCGACTTGCTCCAGCGTAGGTCTCTTTCTCCATGGGCCACATGTCTCCAGCAGGACTCTGTTTCACCTTAGGCCTCCCACGGATTCACATCTTCTTCATGAACTCCTCTGCTCCAGCATGGGCTCCTTCATGAGCTGCAGAGGATCTCCTCACTCAGTAATCTTCCAGAGGTGGCAGGGGTTTTTAGTTTTCAGTCTTTTCCCTGCTGAAGGGAGAGAGAGAGAGACGGGAGTGGGTGGAGAGGGAGGGAGGAAGGAGTCCCCCCTTTCAGGCTTCTCTCTCTGCAGCTGCCAGCTTTGACCTTGGAGGCTGTGCTATCTCTCTCTCTGCATGGAATTCCTTCTGCAGTATTTCTCGTCCAGGCAGTGTTCTTTTCTTACTAAAACTTTTGATTGGCTTTGCTCTGGAAATCCACCTGGAAAAAACTATATTCTGCTTTGGCAGATGCCAGTTGGTAAACCTACGACAGTTGTTCTGCTGGAGCCTCAGCGCTTCCAGCAGAGAGGATGGGCAGAGCCTGGATGATTGGGGACCCCTGAGAACCTCATCCTTGGGGATGGTCACAAACCCCTTCTTCAGACCAGTTTCCTTGTACAAGTGATATCCAGAGGGCACTGGAGAGAGCTGATGCTGGAATTACACTGTGCTGAACCAGGAAAACCTCCAGGATGGGGATTGGTGAGGGGAACAGCTTAATAGGATGCAGGCAGCTGAACCTGTGAAGTGTCAGAAAGTGGGAAATTGGGAATAATAAAGGCAAATTGAATCCTCTCCAGGTTGCTGGAAGTAGTCCTCCTCAGCTGACATCTGGGATTGCTTTGGGAAGTGAGCTGCAGAAGAGTTCCCAGCTTTTCCCTGAGAGATAAAAGCCATCTCTGAGCTCTGCCCTGCCCTCCCCCCTGCCAGGTTTTCGTGGGGCACTTGAGGGATATGATTTACATTGGGGATGTCACAGGCCTGAGGCAAATGAGCACCATTTCCTCAGTGGAGGAGCTGGAAGGAGGGAAGGACTGAGGTGCAGGGGGGGGGCCATCACTTCCTGTGGACAGTGAAAGCAGGAAAGCTTTGAAAATCCCTCTTTTCTGTAGCTTGAGGGTGGGAGAATCCAGCATGGACAGAGAAACACCAGGGACCTTGGTGAAAAAAATATAGCACTTGGGGACATGGTTTAGTGGTGGACTTGGCACCTGGGTAAAAGGTTGGACTGGATGATCTTAGAGGGTTTTCCCAGCCTTAATAATGGGAAGGTGGCTCCTGCCTGCTTTGTGAATAACTTGTTAGCCTTGAATATCCAGCTTGATCCATTTGGGAGCTGAGCAGAGGCCTTTCAGAGGCTGAAAATGTGAGTAGTGGTTGGTGCCTACAGCACAGTTGTGCCTCCTCTGTCATGCACATGTGACCACAGCCAACAGGACCCAATCCAAGGTCTCCCAGACTCTCCGGAGTGTCCCATTGAGCATCAAAGTGATGCCCTGTCCTGTTGCAAGCACATCCAAGTCAGAGGTTTTCCTCCTCACTGCTACTCCTGCATCTTTCCTTAAATCAACAGGGAAATTCTCCACCAAGCAGTAGCAGGGCCACACATGGGACCCCCTTGAAGGCAAATATTTTGAGCTCACAGCTGAGAACAGGGAGTTACCACAGCCTGGAGTCTGTTTGTTTGGCTGTGCTAAGTCATTGCAGCTCCATTTAGTGCAAAATCATTTAGTGCTTGGAAGGGTGTTTTTGTGGGAATAGTTGGTGTTGTGTTGTTTCCCGGTCTTGGCGCAGAAGACAAGAGGAAAACTCTGGCCCAGTATTTATCACATACAAGGTTTAGCACAGTGTAGCTGCCCTGCCCTATGGATTCTCCCAACCAGGCAATATATTGGTATATTTAGTTGGAAAATTAGTGACTGGGCTGTTTGGGATTGATCCTGCAGAGACCTGAGCTTTGCCTCTGAGCTGCTGTGTAATTGCAGGCAGCAAGTTTCACCTCTTCATGCCTCAGTTTCCTCCCCACCTCTTCCTTTTCCTGTCTGGTCCCACAGACATGGAAGCTGTTATGTCCACAGGGACACTCTCTCTGTTTATGGAATGTCTGGCAGAGACAGAGCCTAAAATTACTCCTGTGCAAATGTTAAGTACAACCACTTTGCCTGGAAGGAAGTTTTTAGTGAGATATTTAATTTAGGTTTAAAAAAGACCCCACCTTCCCCTCCCCAAAAAAAAAAAAAAAAAAAAAAAAAAAAAAAAAAGGCTTCATAACTTTTCTTTAGAGGTGTTTTTGGTTTTTTCCCTAAATACACTAATAATTCAGAAGAGCTATAAATACTGAAGCGCTTCTTGGCACACAAAATCTTCTACCATCTGTTCCTGTAACTCACCCTGATGACCAGAGGGCTCTGATGGGTGATACCTGCACAGGTAAAACACTGCTGTGACTGACTGAGCTGCAGCTGGGATGTGCTGGCAGAGTGATGGGAGTCCTTTTGGGTAACAAGGACTTTTCCTCTGCTGTGTCCCAAGGATCAGACAGACAGAGATGACTCATTTCCATGGCTGGAGGGGGTCGGTCTATCACTGTACATACGCTGCTCACCTACAGGTACCCAGACACTTCGTAAGTGGTATCAGGCTGAAGCCAAAACTGTCAGAGCTTCATTTGACTCCTTTCCCTGTTTGAAATCCACTTTCTTGCTTCCTCTCCGTGCTCTCAGACTTGCAGAAAGGTGTTTGCTTTCCACAAGCCTTATATAGGTTTGGAAATCCCATAAAATGCACAAATTCAGTCTTTGGGGTGCCGGAGCCCTTTGGAGCAGGGCAGGAGTTGCACCAGCTCTG